GGCAAATAAACAATTAGACAAACAATAAATAAAAATAATAATGCAATAATAAATAAAAATAAATATAAATAATTTCAAATTATTCATAAACGAACGAGGCATTACAATATGATTTATTAACAGTTATGTGCACCACACCAGTTGTGTACTAATTTTAAATAGACATTTTTATGTAATTTTGTATAATTTAAACGTTATATAACATAGTCAATAAATTAGAATAGATAATTGTATATCTCTTACACGGGACTCATACTAGTATTATTATCTCTACCAATAATATTGTGAATAAAATTTAAAAAGATACTCCTTTAATTTTCCTACAATTAAGGTAACAAATCTCTATGGTCAATATTATGACCATGTTTTTAGGAATTATGGTTTACATAATATCTTTCTCAAATAACAAACTTTTTGAAATTGAATTTCAATTTTCATTCAGCCGCCATTTAAAAAAAAAAACAAAAAAAATTGAATAGTAAATTTGAAAATTTTACGCGGGAATTTATATAATATGTCATGTAAATCATTATCTCTCTTATATAGTGATAGAATGACGAAAAACAAATCAATGTATTTAGTTATTTACACACAAAATTCATAAATATAAATAATATATGGAGAATTAGAGTTTTTCAATATCTTGTATAGAATCCGTTATTCTCGAAATAATATTTTGTTTAATTTACAACATTAATTTGAATAGAAAAAAATAAATCCATAATTACTGGGATATCTCAATTCAGAAGCTCAATTTTTTGGGCACAAGAATCATCAAATTCGTTACCGATTAAAATAGATTCATATGAGATTAATATTTCAAATGAATTAAATTTTGGTATAAAAATTTCCAAATTTGTTACCATAAGAATCTCTAATTTTTTTGAGATATCTCAATTAAATTTTGAGTCCCAAATATTTACATATGTTTCTTTTCAAAATTTCCACTAATAAATCAAATCACTTATTTTTTAGCCAAACTTAATATAAAAATATTTTTCCAACAACAAATTTCTTTAATAAATTTCTCAGGGCTTGATTGTTTATGAAATAATTTGTTAAAATTGAATTATTTTGGTTAACTATAGTTAATTTTGAAAAAGGTGGTATGATTAGTTGTAGTGAAATTTTAAGAATGTATTAAAATAATATTTAAAATAAAATAATTAAAATTGATTTGATGTAAAAGTAAGAGATAAATGATTGGAAATAATAGGTAGTTAAAATTATGTGAGTGGATGAATAGTGAATTAAAGTTGATGTGATGTGTAAGAATGATTGGTTTATATTATTTGAATAATATTAAAGATAGTGGGGTTGAGTTAAACTTGAGTTAAATTTTAAGTTGAAATAAAAGTGAGTAAATTATTTTGTAAACAGCATCCATATAAAGTATGGTCGGCACTTTGGTGCCGTCCGTGTAGATAATAAACTCACGTGACATATCCAATTCTCGCCAGCAGGTCACGTGATCCGAAATACAAAACCACTCGCTAGAGACACGCGTGCTTAACACGAACCAAACACTCTCTTCGCTCGAAAAAGCGACGAAAGTCATCCAACGCGCAGGCTCGTAAGCCCACGCGCTTACAAACTAAATATATAATACGCGCCAGCTCGTAAGCCCACGCGCTTAAAGGGAATACCTTCCTTATTACCTTTTTCTTTTTCCTTTTTTTTTTTTATTATTTCTTTCTTCTTCTTTAAGCTCACCCGCATATGACCTAACCTAACCCTAGTGCTCGAGCTCTTTTTGAAAGAGGAAAAGCGTTCTACAATGCCATTCATCACTCAATTTGTGAAATCCAAATTCAATTGAGCAGCCCGCCCGACTGGATCTCTGTAATTGGCTGCTAGGGTTTGATTTGATTTGATTTGATTGCCCGTTAAATTTAGGTTTGTTTGGGGGCGGACTTTTGGTTCTGTAGCTTAGGGTCTTCCTGCGATGGAGCCGCGAGTGGGGAACAAGTATAGACTGGGTCGGAAGCTAGGCAGCGGATCCTTTGGAGAGATCTATCTTGGTAAATTTTGGTTGCTTTTTTTTGTTTTTTCGGTTTAATTCTTCACTTTTTCTTCTGGGTTTTGAATTTGCCTTTCTTTTTCGGTTAAATTTCTTCACTTTACTTCTGGGTTTGAGTTTTTGTTCAATGTTTTTCAGTGTTGATTTGTTGGTTTTGTGTTCTTGGGTGCAGGGACGAATATTCAGACTAATGAGGAGGTGGCGATTAAGCTAGTAAGTCCCGCTTTTGTTTTTGTTTTTTTTTTATGCGTTCTTTGTTATTAATCTGACCGGTGGGTTTGATTTTCTTGCTTGTGCATTTTGTGCTTCTGTGTGGAAGTTGGTGCTACTGGATTGTTTAATTTACTGATGTGTACTTTTCGCCTTAGGTTGAAATTTTAGTTACCTCAATATGGGTTAATCGAAATTAATCTTCTCTCGATTGATTAGTCATTGAGTTTATGTGGTCCGGTTGCCGAATTGTGAAGGACTTGACTTGAATTTGCATTGATGTTGATAATATCCTATATTTATTATATTTTCATTTTCTGTCTTGGTCTTTTCTCCTATTGAATCTCTGAAGAGTTACTGATTGTTGTTATGGAGGAAATTACGTGATGGTATAACACCTGTCTGGAGATGCGAAATCATAATTATGTCTTTTTAGCATTTGATACTGTGAATAGTGGAGAATCTGTCACTAGTAGTTAAGTTGAGGATATAGAATATTTAGTAAATTTTCAGTTTCTTACTCCATATTTGGCTTTTTCAGGAAAATGTGAAGACAAAACATCCTCAGTTGCTCTATGAGTCGAAGTTGTACCGAATTTTACAAGGCGGAAGTAATGATCCTATCTTTATTTTTGTTCATTGACAAAATTAATTTTTTATATTGTATCATAAATTCGAATATTAATTAACTGCAGCTGGTATACCAAATGTTCGATGGTTTGGTGTCGAAGGTGACTATAATGTTCTAGTTATGGACTTGCTTGGACCAAGTCTCGAAGATCTATTCAATTTCTGCAGTAGGAAACTTTCTCTGAAGACAGTTCTGATGCTTGCCGATCAAATGGTTGATATTATGTGTATTTTATATCTGATTCAATGGGGAAAAGTACCTGTTCCTTGCATAAGTCACCGTGTTGCACACAATTACCTTGATTGACTTGCTTCAATATGTTATTTCAGATCAATCGTGTTGAATTCGTCCATTCAAAATCATTTCTACATAGAGATATTAAGCCTGATAATTTCCTCATGGGTTTGGGTCGGCGTGCTAATCAGGTCTACTT